GCATAGTCCTTGTGCGGAACAATCCGGTGACAAATGCTAATGAGAAGCCAGTTACCACTTCAGAAGACCTTCAATATGGGCCCGAGGACACGGCTGAGAAAAGCCTCAGTGCGTACCCTTGGTTGGCCAACCGAAGTGTCTATCACTTAAATGGCTTTGCGTCTCTACGGGTGCACCAAAGAGAGATTTGGAAGATAATAGTAAGATCTACATTCTAGAGCAAGCTTCCGTCTCTCCTGACATCCATTTTGGTCTTTTTGTCTTGTTTTCTTAACTTTGTAATGACCGTTTATACTCTTCTTGTATGATGTTCTTGATGTCACCCCACAATGCTTATAGTCTTTGGTCATTAGTCTCCAAGGCACCAAATCTATTTTTTGGGATGGCCTCTAAAATGGACATTTATAAGAATAATTTCATGGAAAGTATGGCTATTAAGGATATAAAGTGCTAGTAGGTGTACCAAGAAAGGAATATTTAGTTGTGCTAGATGCATAATATTGTGTGTGTTGGCAACATGTTGAAAAGAACAGCTCTGATAAACATCTTAGTGAGTGCGGACACAGAAAGAAGGGAGCCCGCTGGCTCCATGGGTAAGCACTACAGTGGGAATGGAAAGGTGGTGATGGAAATGCACCTATCTGCTCCACAGGACAAAGATTGGTGATCTGTTACTACAAAGATGACAGCCAAAGCCAATGGGGCAGTTCCACTCTACCATATGGGGTCAATATGAATGGAAATCAATTTGATGGGCTACAATAACAGATAGAAATGGGGAGTAGCGATGCTCATAGGAGATGTAACCAAATAGCTGTGTCCTTTCTAGTCTTGTTGAATTGCTTCCTTAATAGGCTCATATGTAGGTTTGAATTTATTTTAAAAAACAAACAAACAAAACCGGAGTAGTCTCAAAGCCATCAGAAGGGATGTGGTTAAAATAAATTACTTGGTATGGGTCTCTGTTAGTCTGGGTAAACTAGAGAAAGAAATTCATGGACACACATGTGTATAAGATTTATATACAAGAGCAATTGAACATTGAGAAAACATCCTAGCCCAGTCCAGATCAAGTCCGTAAGTCTGACATTAGCCCACATTTCCAATATCAATCTATAAAGTCCTCTTCAGTCTTATGAAAAACATGCAATGACGTCAGATGCAGAAGATCACAGGCCAGTGGGCAGAAAGTCTTTGGATCCAGCGTCACTGGAAACATCTCAGCGCTGGCAGGGGTCTTTCTGTGGCTTCTCCGGCTTCCGAGGTCTGGTTGCGTCCATGTAGCTTGTCTTCTGCAATGTCTCCCAGGGAGTGGCAGAGAGAGAGAGGTGTCTTCTGCCTCCAAGGAGGAAGTACTAGATTTCCCAGAATTCTCAGGAGAAGGCCATGCCCACAGAAGTCTCATTGGCTATCTCCAGATTGACAGCCTAGACTCCAGCCCTACATTCTTAATCCTTAAATTGACACCAGATTAGGTGACTACCACAGGGTCTTTTAGCCATAATCGATGTAACACTCATCAAATGATTGTGTGAGATAATGCAAATAAAGTATAGAGGATTTAAACCTGGGGATTGAAGAGAACTATTTCAGAAGCAAGAAGAGAATCCCGTGACCCTCAAGAAAAAAGAGCTACCAGTGTTCCAGATCTCTGTGTAACAGAAGAGGTAGCAGAGAGGGCTGCAGCACCAAGACCATGAGACAGCATCGGGCTTCCTGGCCCACCGAAGGAGTGAAGGTTAAGTACCTTCAGGTAGGATGCTAGCTTAAGGAGTGGGAGCCCTTTGGGTACTTATCAGCTCAAAAGGACTTTTGTGACACTTGTCTGAGCAGACAGAAGCCAAGGGATTACATGATTGAGACTGAAGAAGAGAAACAGATGGGCCTGCCAACATGACTCACAAAAAACAGAGGAAAATAGGATTGTGAGATATAATTAATTACAATGACCCTTTTAGCCATAGCTCTCCCTTTTGTGATGAATTGTAAATTCTAGTCTTTACCCTTGTGATTCTGATCCCATTTTGGAATGAGCTTTCTGTTAGTTAATGAAACAAGGGCTAAGGTGGAATGTATTTGTTTTTTGGAATGTAGTTTTAGTCCCTTTCTCATTAGAGGGCGTGGCTCAAGTCACCACTATTTGCTTCCTTGGGTCTTTAGTCTGCAGAAGCCAAAGACCACACCTCCCGTCCCAGTCGTTTTGTGATCTCTTCTTGACTGAACACGTGCAGAAGCAAGCAAGACTTCCCTTTCAAGTTTTAATCTTTGATCTAGACCCTGGATCCGACTCCCCTCTAGCTGACCTCTGGTTCTTAGGACTTGACTTGCAGCTTATTCCCTGATCTGATTTCACCAGCTTCCGCAGCCTCGTGGATGAGGAGGATCCTCTAGACCAGTGGTTCTCAACCTGTGGGTCACGACTCTGTTGGGGGTCGAAAGATCCTTTCACAGGGGTCACCGATTCATAACAGTAGCAAAATGACAGTTATGAAGTAGCAATGAAAATAATTTTATGGTTGGGGAGTCACCACCACATTGAGGATCTGTACTAAAGGGTCGCGGCATGAGGAAGGTTGAGAACCACTGCTCTAGACTGAATCTTAACCTCCGATTTGAGACTTACCAACCTCTATAACCATGTGAGTAATTTCTGGAACAGTCCATCAGCTCTGCAAGACGGTGCAGTGAATTGCAGAACCCTGAGACATGAAGATGTAGACTGAGAGGCAGAGTATTGACATCAGGGATAATGGAATAGTATAGCATTTTGGAAAAGTGAGGCAGTTGGGATATTATTCATCTCCACCTTATTTGGGGCTAGTCTTGCATTAATCTTTTGGAGAGAAATTATTTCTCCAGGCTATATCCTTAATGTTTTTTGATCCTGACTTATGACAAACTATAGTATTAACTTTTCTAATAAGCCCTGTCATTGTCCGTATTGAGTTCTGTGAGGCCACTACAATGGGTTCTTGAACCTAGCAGCAAAGTAGAGTGCTGTGAAAGAGACAACTGGGGTCAGAATAGGGGAAAGAAGGATGGAGTATAAGGGCAGGCTTTTTGTGGGACTCATCCTTGGACATATGCCGAGTTGGGTTCTTCTTCCCACTTTTGTAGTTGCAGGAGGTCAGACTTAGCCACCCTGCCATTTCCTCAGGGGACAGCATATACAAAGGTCCTGAGTCATGTGGCTAGTTTTAGGCACTCAGCTGACTAGAGTGTGGCGTGTCACTGTGGGATACTGAGAGAGCACAGAGGATGTGATGTGTGAGTTGAGTCTAGGTCAAGAGAAAATTTAAAAAGCAGGAGAAAGAGTTGGGAGTTTATTCAGTAGTCAATGAGGAGCCATGGAAAGTTTAAGTAGAAGATTGCTTGTATGTTCAGCTTGGTTCTCTATAGAAGCAAAACCAGTCACATATATACACACACACAGAAAGAGAGAGAGAGATAGAGAGAGAGAGAGAGAGAGAGAGAGAGAGAGAGAGAGAGAAACGTATCAAGAAAGTGGCTCACACAGTTGTAGAAGCAAGTCCAGTGAGATTCAAGTCCATGGGTCAGATGTTAAGCTGGCAACTTTTCCTGACCCAAGTAGCTTCTGCGGGTGACAAACCAGGAAGTGGGGAGAAGAAGTAGGAAGACCTTGGCTTGTGGATGCACAGGTGAATTCAAGGTTAGTAGACCAGAAAGCACACCGCTTTGTCTCTGGGTTGGCAAGCAATATGGTGGGCCATTGGGTCAAGTCCTAAGAACCGGAAGTTGAGGAGCTAGGCTCCATACAAGCAAGAAGTGATAAAGTTCTCTACAGTGTCTACTTACATAGGAGCAGGCCACACCCCTGAGGCAATTTCACTTTCACTTTTGAAATACTATAACTAATCTTCTTAAGACTGCTGGGCTGCTCACAGCAGATCCCATCATGGAGTTGACAGTTTTTATCTTATGCTAACATAAAGGTTGGTGGGTAGAACCCATCTAGAAGCTTCACGGCCGAAGAAAAGAGGGGTGACTGCTTCCCTAAAGATCTTAGCTGTTTTAGGGTACAAAAGAGATCTGAAATCTCAAATAAAACTCAAGAACACTTATTAAGTCTTAAACAGGCCAGAAGAGACAAGACAAAGACACACCATCTGGATGGGGGAAATTGGTCGAGGAAGCTCGACCAAGGCAGGATGCTAGCACCTCCCCTTCCATTAAGGGCAAACTAGGCAAGTCCATAAGGGCCAGTCTGCCTCTCCGTGGACTGACTAGCGTGATAGCAATGAACTCGGCCCGAGGACAAACCCATGCAATACTACATGTAACACACTAAGAACTCAATGGAGGTTGGGTTTATGTGGAGATTCGTACAAGGATTTGTCTTTCATTTTGAACTGTAGCCTTCAGCAAACGTAGTGCTCAGACGTTTCAGCTTATACATAGCCAAGAAAACTCTACATGATGGCTGGGTTCGACTCTGCCACACAGTGTGGTCCTGCGCCAGAATCTAGTGGAAGGAAGGCATGGGGTCATCTACCTGCCGTGGAGTGGACTGGACTCCTTTGCGCAGGGAACAGCTCCTTGGACTTTCCATCGTTACCAGGTGTATCTTTCTCGGGCTAAGCGGAGGGCCGGTGGGTTCGAGCCACTAACCTTGTGGCTAGCAGCTGGAGGGGGAATGCATTCCTCTTTTAGGTAGAAAAACAGGTAGAACTTGGAATGTGGCAATCTGCTGAGAGTGAAACCAGCGGAAAGGGCCACCCTGGGCCAAGCGGTGGCGGGCGGCGGCGCGGGGCTTTGGGTTGAGCGCGGGAGAGCGGGCGGAGGGAATCACGTGACCCAAGCGGCGGGGGGCGGGGGCGTGTGCGCGGAGGAGGCCCCAGCAGACGTTGCGCTCGGCCGGGCAATGCCTTCCCCGAAAGGCGGGCGGAGCCGACAACCAAACTAACAGCTCCGCAGCGGCTCGGGGCGGGGCGGACGGGAGCGGCCGGGGCTCCCAGGGCCGGGCCTGCGGCCGGGTTCGTTTTTGGGTTGTTGGTCCCGGCGGCGGTCTGCGGGCGGGCGGAGAAGCGTAACGCAATGGCGACCTTTGTGAGCGAGCTGGAGGCGGCCAAGAAGAACTTGAGCGAGGCCCTGGGGGACAACGTGAAACAGTAAGAGCGGCGTGGGGGCGGTCTCCGGGGCTCCGCCTGGCCACTCCTGCCTCCAGCCACCGACCCGCGCCCAGCGCCCGGGGCCTGCGCATCCCTGCGGCACCGGCGGGTGGGGCCTGGAGGTCGGTCCGCCGGGTCGGCAGGCCGCCCTGCTCGCCGGGCCGGAGGGGCCGGCCTCCCCGGCGAGCGCTTTCGCCCGGCCCTCGCTCCCCGCCCGCAGGCTCGTTGGCCAGGTTCTGGCCTGGCGCCGGGCTGCGGGACGCGCGGGCTGGTCGGGGCCCGGTGACCCGGGGCTGGCTTCCTGGAGGCGGAGGGGTTGAGCCGGGCCCCGGAGGGTGGCACAGGAGTGCCCCACTCAGCGTACCAAGTGCATAAAGACCGTCTTTAATTGAACGCATGTGGTGTACTAACCATTATGTGCAAATTGAGTGGCTCTGGTGGCGTTAAAAAGGAGCGGTGGTGATGGAGTGGGTTACACATTGGGTTAGTAGCCACAAGGTCTGCAGTTCAAACGCACCAGCCTCTCTGCGAGAGAAAGATGAGACGCACCGCATCCAGAAAGATGAACAGCTCGGCCACCCACTGCAGCAGTTCCACCTTCACCTATTGAGTCGCTGTGAACCTGGCAGTGGTTTGGTCGATTTTTGTTTTGCCTTTTTGGGGTGGGTTGGGGGGGTTGGGCGGAGCTTTGGGTTAGGCAGTATGATGCTAACATCAAGGTGGTGTTCCAACTCATAAAATCTCTGTACAAGAAAATGAAACACTGCCCGGGGTTTTTGTTAAGTTTAAGCCCAATGTTGCAGGTACTGGGAGAATCCATCTCATTGAGGGTCTTCTTGTTTGCTTTACGACGCACGCACGGTGCCTTTCCCCAGGGACTGGTCTCTCCTGGTAACATGTCCAAAGTACTTGAGACAGGAGCTTGCTCTCCTGGTCTCTAAGGAGCATTCTGGTTGTACTTCTTCAGCACAGATTTGTGGGCTCTTGTGACAGTCCGGGGTCGTTTCAGTATTTTTCACTAGCGCCATCATTTAAATGCACAGTAGGGAGCCCCGTCCCCCCACCAGCCACTCAGCAGGAGAAATACCGCGCTCTCTGTTCCCATTAAAGTTTCGGCAATGAGTTATGATTGGTGCACCAATCAATGGGAAGTAGGGATGCTCATAGGAGAGGGTCATAGGCCATCCTGCTCAGGAGAGGGTCAGAGAAAAAAGGGAAAGATCCTCTGGAAAATGGGTACAGGTTGGCACTGATGGGCTCAGGTGAATCAGTGGTTGTGAGGATGGCCCAGACCTGGCAGTGCTTGGCTCTCTTGTGTTGTGTGGTTGCTGTAAGGAAGCAATGGATACGGGACAACAACATGCATTACATGGTCAATATTATGCAGAGAGACATGCAAAGAGGATCTGACATTAATCCCTATAGAGAGGAGAAGCCCTGCGGTGGATAGCAAAAAACAAAACAAAACCCAGTTGTCTTCTGACAGTGGGACCCCAAGTATCAGAATAGAACTGCGCTCCATAGGGTTTCCAGTGGCGGGTTTTTCTAAAGTACATCGCCAGGCCTTTCTTCTGAGGTGCCTCTGGGTCAACTTACGCCTCCAACCTTTAGGTTAGCTGCTGAACTTACTAAGTGCACCACACAGGGATGCTGTGGTTATAGACCGTGATAAGTAGATCATAGATGTAAAGATAATATATAATAAATAAATCATCTCAGAAATCTTTTTTTAAAACCTATCAGCAACTCACATGAACTTTAGAAGGTGAATTAGAATTGAAAATTCACCTAAGAGATCCATTGAGTGAGTTAGCCCCTGTGGTGCTGTGGGTTAGGTACTGGGCTGTTAACCATAAAGTCAGCAGTTCAAACCCACCAGAAGGAAGTTGAGGCTGTCTTCTCTGTCAGGATTCCTTCTCAGAAACTGAAAAGGACAGCTCTATTCCATTGTGTATTGGCTCACTGTGAGTTAGAATCGAGTCCCTGGCCATGAAGTCAGTGTGGATTTGTGAACATTGTGTAACTGACCATGGTGCTCCGTAAGCCATGAAGTCAGTGTGGATTTGTGAACATTGCGTAACTGACCATGGTGCTCCGTAAGCAGGGAGCAGCTTCAGGACTCAACAAGGAGGGCTGGATGTTGACAACCCTAGGTTCTTCCATTTTCCAATGAAGCTAACATATGGACAATGACATCTTTGCTTCCTCTCTATTGTCTTTATTATCAGTGGCTGGTTTTGGTAGCTTGATGGGTTACGAGGTGGGCTATCAACCCGACTGTAAGCCATCGACTGTAGCAGCCACTCTGTAGGAGAAAGGTATTTGGAAACCCACTGCACTTCAGCTATTTAGGTAAAATGAGCTCGTGTTAAGGGAGAGACATTGCCCAGAATCTATACTATTAATATACCCACCCACAAAGCAGAATCCCGTTTTAAACTTGAACTCTTCCACGTAGGATTCTGGAGAGAAGATCTTTGGGAAAAGTGACAGCGAGGCAGGAAACATACAGCGTGGGTGTGGGCCAGTGGGCCCACGTATAACTGCCTGCCTGTCCTCCAGGGGAGAAGGCATCCTTCCCGTTTCTTCTCATGTTCCAGTACCCTAAGGTCTAAGGTCAGAGTCTCTGACACCATTGACTGCTGAATGAGAGGGTGGCACCACCAGCCAGAGATGTGTTGGCGGAAAGGAGTGGAAATCTACTTCTTAAAAATCAGTCACTTAGAGCCCTGTGGGCACAATTCTGTGATACGCAGGGATCCCCGTGAGTTGTAATTGACTCCATAGCAAAAAGGTCAAAGGCATGGTCTCAGGCAGGGCTGGGGAACCTTTTTTCTGCCAATTGCCTTTTGGATATTTATAACTTGCTTGAGCCATCCATACTGGTTAAACAGTTCATTAACTCACCCCAATGTGATGCCAGAACTGCTTCTATTTGGTGAGATATGTGATATTATCTGGTATTGATTTCACGACTTTATACGGCCCAAGGGCCGGATGTTCCCCACCCGTAGTCGAAGTTAGTGTTCCCTAAAGTGGCCTATACTGCCCCCCTGGGGTGCACTGGAATGATCCCAAAAGACCCCAAAGTCACTGCCATCAAGTTCTTTGGGACAGAGTGAAGCTGCCCCTTGACTCTGAGACTGTAACTCTTTGCAGGAGAAGAAACCCTGTCTTTCTCCCTCGGAGCTGCTGGTGCTTTTGAACAACCACTAAGCCCGCAGGGCTGCCCTGGAACTATGCAGAGGGCTGCAAAAGCAGATAATTTACACTTTACCTGGGATTATGGCCTAGTATATGAAAGGTTTTAAATGCTGGGGAGGGGGGGCACTGAGTAATTTTTTTTTTCTCCCTGAAAAGGGGCAGTTGACCAAATAAGCTGAGGAAGCTACAGTCTAAAAAGATGGAACTGGTAAGATGAACTTGAGGCAGAAGTAAGCCCTGATTCTCAGTGCAGTTTCTGCTTCCAGGTACTGGGCTAACTTAAAGTTATGGTTCAAGCAGAAGATCAGCAAAGAAGAGTTTGACCTTGAAGCGCATAGACTTCTCACACAGGATAACGGTAACGTTGGGTTCCTCAAATTTGCAAGAACTGAATGTCTTTTTACTCTTATTATTTTTTTAAGTTTTGACATTAATGGTGCAATAAGATTATTTTAATAATGAGAACATTTTAAATTGAGAAGTAAAAACGGCAGAATCAGGGACATCCAAACCCTTACAAGGCAGACTAAAGTAATAGTTTCCTGATGTTCTGTGTGACTTGTATTTGATGTGTAATAATCTCCCTTTTTCAGTTCATTCCCACAACGACTTCCTCCTGGCTATTCTCACGCGTTGTCAGATTTTGGTGTCTACACCAGGTAAGGCTGTGGAAATGCTCCCAGCATATGCCAGGTGGCAAAGCCAGGGAGTGATGGGCCCTTCACTTCCTGTAGCAGCGCTCTCTGCTGCTTGCCAATGAAAATGTCAGAAAACGTTAGGATGTGCAGCATGGTGGTGGTGTGGGTTACGCATTGGCTGATGACCTCAAGGTGGATGCTTCAAGCCCACCAGTCGCTCTGAGGAGAAAGGATGAGGCTGTCTGCTCCATAAAGATTTACAGTCTCAGAAATCCTCTGTAGTGTTGTGATGAATCAGAATCGACTCAGTGGCGGTGAGAGGTTTTTTGCATATATTTTAAAGTGCCACAAACCCAAAAGATGAGTGAAGTGAAGTGATCAAAGGAAAACCCTGGTCTAGAAAATTAAGTTCAAATTGAGGTTTAACAACTAGCTTAATTAATATAAGTAACTGCATGGAGGCAGGGGAGGCAACGGTCTTAGCTTTCACTCATAAAATAGGAACAGAAGTGCCCATCTTCTAGGGCAGGCGTCCTCAAACTCCGGCCCGCGGGCCGCCCGCTGAGGACATTTATCCGGCCCGCCGTGTGTTTTTGCCCCGTTTGTTTTTTTACTTCAAAATAAGATATGTGCAGTGTGCATAGGAATTTGTTCATAGTTTTTTGTTTTTTGTTTTTAACTATAGTCCGGCCCTCCAATGGGTCTGAGGGACAATGAACTGGCCCCCTGTTTAAAAAGTTTGAGGACCCCTGCTCTTGGGTTATGAAAGAACATGTAATAAGTGCTTTGAAAAATAAACAAAATAGCCAAACAAATAGGAAGTTGTATTAGTAATTGTAATTGACTTGTTCTAGTTAAATAGAAGCCATTGATGTTGTTTCTGGTTTAAAAACATGTAAAGAAGTGTCTGTCAGCACCCAAATTAAATCTCCAGGAGAAGAATGCTTGCTAGCAGCACAACTGGGCTTTCTATTAAAAGTAATGATTAGGTGGTTGCACTTGTGATAATTGTGGATGGATGATTTTCTATTTCCCCAGCATGACAGGAAAGATCATTTTAATAACATTGGGTGTCTGCAGTGTGCCAACATGCCTCCTGCACATTGTCTTTAGTTCTTCCAACAACCCTTCCTTGTGCTTTGAGAGAAAAGGGCGGGGTGGGGTGGGGGGACAGAGAGGAGAGAAAGTGTAAGCTTGCCAGGGCCCGGTCCAGCACTCAGTGGCACTGTTCCCCTGAAGCCCGCCTCCTGGTCAGGGTTAGTGCTTATTACCAGGCCTTGCTTCCTCTACCCACATGGTAGTGGTGCTTAGGGTCTGATTTTGAAGCCAACTTTCAGTTGCATTTAAAAAATGGCTCTCTGGGAAATCATCTCTGATTGGCTGATGGTACTATCTCACCATTAGCCATTCTCACATGATTCCCCACAGCTGGTGTGCCTAAGACCTTTACGTGTTGAAGATGTTCCAAACAGTTCTTTTATGGAAAAACTAAGAAGTCCGCCCCCCACCCAAAAAAAAGCTGAGCTTCAAACTGGTGTTCAGCCTTGTTTCAATGGGTGATGCAGCACCAGAGCAGCTGAAGTTTTAAAGTGCGACTCAAGGGGAATGCTAATTAGGCCAGGAAAAATGACAGTTTGAAGCGCAGCTAGAAATGGAACCTTAGGACAGCATGCGTGTGGCATGGAAGCCACGTCTCTGAACTGACCGGGTAGAGCACAGCATTGCCCTGCTCAGAGGTGGCAGACAGCTGCCCCGCTTCGAATGTGTTGCTCCCCACTGTCTTGGCACTGAGCCTAGTGCGTCACACATGAGGCTACAAAGAGGGCTCCCCGCATCTGTGAGTGCCCCTTTCCATGGCTGCATCCCACCGTGTCTCCTGTTCTGGTTAAGTTTACACAAAAACATCACCCAAGTGTTAAAATGCTGGCCGGTGTCTGTTTCACTTTATTAGCCCTGACTGAGGCATCCGAACTAGAAAGCCCTGTTTCAAAGCTTTCGAAACTTGTCCTCTTCACAACAGCAAAATGGTAAAAATGCTTTGTTAGGGGTATACGCTTTTTCCTTTCTTAAAAAATACTCCAAGATGCTCGTTCAGGTGCCTTCTGTGTGCCGTTCATGTTGCCTTTGTCTCTGTTGTTGTCGTGTGGGAGGAGCTTGTGAGAGGAGGTACACACATGCTTTGCTCCTAAGTCCACCATAGTGAACTGGACAGTTCTCTCCTCCCGCCCGTCTGTCTCTAATGACAGTGATGAGCAAACCTGACACCCAGGGAACAGTGATTACAGATATGAAAAGCAAAAGGCTTTTCAGAAAAATGTCAAAGTTACAGTGGGAAAGCAATGTGATCTGAGAGAATGTATGCTTATCTATGAATTGGCAGCGACTCAATGGCAGTAATTTGGGGTGGATTCAGATATGTATTATGGAGGAGAAAGGATTTGAATGTATGGATTACTGTTTAACTTGTCATTATTATCCTCCTGTCTCATAGAAGGTGCTGGATCCTTGCCCTGGACAGGGGGTTCCGCAGCCAAACCGGGGAAACCCAAAGGAAAGAAGAAGCTGTCTTCAGTTCGTCAGAAATTTGATGTAGGTGATTCTCCAGCTGTGCTTGTTAATGACTGGTGGAAGTGTGCTGCAACTAGCTTTAGCTTTCAAAGGAAAATTAATTATGTTGAAATTTAAAAAGGGCTGCCATTTGGTGCAAAAGAGGTTATTGTAATTGAAGTTGATGAAGGTTTCAAAGGTGTGAGTTCCAGATGTCTGCGTTTTATTATTCTAGTTTGTTGTTGCTTAAGTAAGAACATGTGCTATTAATATCCAGTGATGCAAAAGCCATGCTTGTATTGCTTTCTCCTTTTCAGTATTTTTCAGAAAAGCATAACGTTTCTCAGATTGGGCGATTCTATTCCTAGGGCCCATGAGGTCCAGAGGCAGGACCCCGGAAGGCCCGGGGTGGGCCTTGAACTTTCAGGAGAACCGCAGAGATGCCATGAGAACATTTGGCTAGTCAACGTTATAGAATAACTTGCTCTTTCAGTTTATGTCTCGGGGGAAATTTCTCTCAAAAGACCTTGCATAGATCTGGTTGGATTATTCCTAACTGTTGGCAAACAGCAGGCTTTTTTGCGTCCATCTTTGCTTTATCTTCTAATCGGTACAATAATGAACCTGGATGGCTGGGTTTACAAGTGTGTTTACTGCTCAACGTTGTGTGCTGAGTTGAAGCCAAAGCTGCTGGGGCGTACCTCCCAGTGGGGGACGAGCACCGGTGAGGTCGCCGAGTCAGCCTCAGGAAGCTGAGGCTTTCTGGCTGGAAAAACCTCAAGGAGACAAATTCATTAGTCTCAGATTCTGCATTGAGACTTTGAAGTTGAAAATAACAATAGCCAGGTACACTACCCACCATTATCTTGGGACTGTTTTTTAGTAGATCCGTTACATTCATTGGTTAGGCTTTGGAGTGCTTAATTGAAGCACTAATTATATATTTATACTGTTAGAGCTTAGGTGTATTCTGCATCTTAATCTTTAGTATATATTCTATTATCACTCAGATAGTAATTGAACAGAACAAGCCACTGTCTGAGCTACAAACTGCTGACCAAGTAAACATCAGGCATCAGTGTTCGCCAGAAGTAACCTGCCTGAGAAGTTCATTATTTTCCCTTGATTCATGCCTTTGTCCTCACCATGGCATTAATTGGATAGATCTTGAAATTCAGTAATTGAGTTACTTCTGTTTGTGTTTCATTATTGGGCACCTTAATGATTTAAAAAATTTTTTTAATCTGTAGCATAGGTTTCAGCCTCAAAACCCCCTCTCAGGAGCCCAGCAGTTTGTGGCCAAGGATCCCCAAGATGACGACGACCTGAAGCTTTGCTCCCACACGATGATGCTCCCTACTCGGGGCCAGCTGGAAGGGAGGATGATCGTGACGGCCTATGAGCACGGGCTGGACAACGTCACCGAGGAGGCGGTCTCCGCCGTCGTCTGTGCCGTGGAGGTACGTTTGCTGTCGGCAGGAGCAGGTGTCCAGCTCGAGTGTGACGAGCTCGTGTTTGCTTCAAGGTGATCGTTGCAGGCAAAGCACCGAATGTCACTCAGGCCTCAGGGACTTGTCATCACGAGGGTGTTTTCTTCTGAGGGAGAAACATCGCCGTTGAAAGGATGGGCTTCAGTGAACAGACTGAGCTCAGATAGGTGGCTTCCGCCAAAATTCTTCCGCTTGCGTTGTTGAGTTTTTCGGCGAGGGGCTGTATGTAAGGGGAAAGTGAGATTGGAGAGCCTGCTGATGACAGTCCCTTGCTTCTCCTGGAGTGAGTAGGTAGCGGTGGAGAACGTTAGATTTGTTGTTTGAAAGAACAGTTGTCTAGTCTCAGCACATTCATCTCGCTGACAGTGTACAGTGGGTAGATGGTATGCAGATATGCAAAGTGGCCTTGGGTAAGTCCTTGGAATTCCCTGGGCCTCAGTGGTGCCCCAAAGATAATAACAGCTGCCTCACGAGGCTGTAAGCATTACATGGATTCTGTGTGTGAAACCCCATTATAAAGTGAACAGTGCTGTCCTGTGTAAGATGGCCTTCCTGGTAGAATTAATACCCTCTGGTCTCCTGTTACTAATGAAAGCCTGAGACTCATGCCCACAGATGCCTCCATCCATCTCTTAAAACTGTGAAGACAAGGAAGTACCTGTTCTCTGGTTCTGTTTTGTGCTTATTTCTTAAATATCTGTTGAGTCTGTGCTTTTTGAAGAGGGTGGTCTTAGGGACCTCTATTTGCACTTTGTTCTCCAGCAAGGGTCTTAGTAGATCGAGCACTTGAAGGCCTAAATAGCACAGCCCTGGCGTCCATTTGTTTTGTTCCTAAATCAAACTTCCGAGTAGTTTGCCCCTTTCAAAGTCTTACTTACTCCTACGTGTGTGCCTCTGGGTACAAAAGGGCCCTGGGGCACGTGGGTGAGGCGTTGGGTCAACACGTGCAGCATACCCGCCACTCCTAAGAAGAAAAGGCCACTTGCTGCTCCTGCAAGGATGGATGTTCAGCCTTGGAAAGCCACAGGGCACGTCTGCCCTGTCCACAGGGTCTCTCCGAGCCAGAATCGACCCGATGGTGGTGGGTTGGGTTTGGCATTTGTGTGACAAGAAGCACAGGTGGGATAGTGGGTTCCCAGTTGGGCTGCTCACTGCAAAGTCCGCGAGTTCAAACCCGCCACCTGCTCCAGGCAGAAAGATGTGGCCGTGCAGCTCGATAGTCTTAGAGACCCCGAGGAGCAGTTCTGAGCTCTTCTGGGGGGTGGTCAGGAGACCCAGGCTGCCTGACATCGTGGTTGCAACTATTATGAAGAGACTTCCAAGAGCTCACGGAAAAAGCTCCTTTTATTTCCATTTTCCATGAACTTTTTGAAGCCTCCATGTATTCATTCATTCATTATCTTTTTTACCCTATTTAAAGCTTTCCTAAATCCGTTTTGAGAGATAGGAACACATTTCCGGCATGAAAACCCTTTCAGTACATGCCCTGTAGGTGTTGTCAGGAGGGAGCAGTCCCTGGAGAAGGACCTCACCCTTGGTAGAGTAGAGGGGCAGCAACGAAGAAGGCCCTCCCCCAGGTGGTGGACACAGTGGCCGCACCCTAAGAGCGCCTCGGGCCGTGCAGGCCCAGGCCGTGCTTCCTTCTGTTGGACACAGGGTCGAACGCACCTAACGACAAGCCCATTTTAAAGAGCACGGCATCAAAGTACCACGGCTTCCTCCTCCTCCTACACCCTCCTGTCTTCCGGTGTGGCCTGCGGCTCCCGAGCAAGCTTTCCTTGGTTCTGTCATGCGCTGGCCTGCCCCACGCTTCCACCCATTAATGCCATTGAACGATTTTGGCTCATCTTTAGTCTTTGTTTTTTCACTGTTTGGGATACAGACGGCAGAACCCACACCAGCGCCACCCGTTCCACAGGCCCGTTCAGTGACGTGTGTTGGCTTCTTCAAGGCGTGGAGCTAAGCTCTTTCCGAGTTTGCCTCCCCATGGATATGCTCTCCCTGACTCCCTATTGAGTCTCCTGTCTGACCTCTAGCCGCGCTGGTGTCTCTTTGAGCCCGCAGAGATCGTTCATAAGTGTGCGCGATGCTTGCTGCAGATACTTTCTACTAGTTGGGCTACACTGTAGTTTGGTTTTAAGACAACTTCTGGGGATATTTTGGTTTAAGGTTTAAAGATAAGCTCAGGACAATGGTTTCAGGAATGCTTTGCTTTTAAACAGAAGTTCTTGCTATTTTTTCTTTTGTGTTTTTACAGAATCACCTAAAAGACATTCTGGCATCAGTGGTGTCCAGAAGGAAAGCTTATCGGTTACGAGATGGTCATTTTAAATACGCCTTTGGCAGTAACGTAACTCCACAACCATATCTGAAGAACAGTGTCATGGCCTACAACAATTTAATAGAAAGGTAACTGAAGTGTGTGTCTGTCACTTGCGAGCTGGTTACAGTGCTTACGGATGAGACACCTGTTCAGTCATTACATACTGTGCTGCTTTGAGAGCAGAACCATTTTGTTTTTCTCAGCGAATGGTTTGGTTGTCTGTTAATACCGAGTGAGGCTGAGTTAGCAGGAGGGAGTGCCCCACCACGCCAAGCTAAGTGGAGGGGCTCCCTTGGGCGGCGCAGGCTGCTGGCTCCTTAGGTGGCCCCTGCCAGCCCTTGGAAGTGAGGTTGCTCTCAGTCGGAATCGTGGCTCGGGTTTCTGGAAGGTGGGAGGGGGGCTTTGTCCAGGCCCTCCTGTGGCTCCTGCAGTCGTTGCTCAAGGTACAGCGACCCGTGTCACAGGTGCCATCAGTTGTTCTTTGTAGCCTGCTGTGTAGCTCTGGTCCCAGCTGTGTGGTCTCTGTGTGGGGATCCCCATCCTTCGTTCCTCTCAGGCCTCCCAGCTCCTTAGTCCCCGAGGCACCCCTTCATGAGGTGACCCAGAGTCCCTTCGCCTGTGTGCCGAGTATTCGCACCCTCAGATAAAAGTCGAGTCTGAATGGTAGGTCTTTGGGAAAAGAAAAGAAAAGCCAATAGTCTACTTTTCCTCACGTTTATCGAGTGCCTGTACGCCTCTGCAGGTTAGGTTTTGTGCGTTTGGTTAGTAAGGGAGAAAGCCAGTAAAGAGAGGCAGAGAGGCATCAGAGTGGGCTGGGCAAGAGTGACTGGTGTAGAGATGGCGGGCAGGGACAGGCAAGAGAAAAGGGAGAAGAGGCACAAGGGGGAGACGGAGCAGCTAGTGTGCCACCACGGGGTGGGGGCTGGGCCGCTGCCTTGCTACTTGCTTCCTGGCTCTGAGGACCTAGATTGGATCACGGGCCCTGGTTTGAAGAGCACTGTCTTAAATTGGGTCTTCTGCATAGCCTGCCACATGTGAAGATTTCTTGTCTAAATCTCATTCTAGCACCTGGTACCTGTTTGGGAGTCCTGCTCAGTTTCCGTGTGTGAGCCATTCTCTAAAGAGGGAGCGTGTGACGGGTGACTGTTAGGAGCTGCGTCTCTGGCCCTGGCAGAGCCCCCCAGCCCTCTCACCCCTAGCGCCAGGCCACTGAGGGCTTCTCCGACGGGCTGACTTTTGTCCGGTGCCTCAAACCAACACTCTTCGTGCTTTTCCTTCAGAACACTTCCTTTGTGTTCTTCATCACTTCCTCACGTTGCACTGCTTCATATTATTGATGGTGGAAACTCACGTCTGGTTTCCCAGCTGTATTGTATCGAGGTTCTAGTTTGGGGAAATTGACAAGATCCGGATTAGTTCTCACCAGCTCTTTTCCCTGCTGCTGTGTTTGTGTTGCATTGTTTTTTCTTACTCTATTTCTGACCCTCGTCTCCAGTCCCTTTTACCTTCTTCCCCAGTCTGTTTTCAGTTTCCTATTCCTAACCAAGGTCTTTTTCAACTTGAAGCTTTTTAAGGGCAAGAAACTATTTTTATTCCATTTCTTAGTTGAGGGGCTATGGTAGCATGGTGGTTAAAGCGCTCAGCTACCAACCAAAAGTTGTCAGTTCAAACCCACCAAATGCTCCTTGGGAGAAAGCCATGACAGTGTGCTTCTGCAAAGATGCTCAGCCTGGGAAATGCTATGGGGACTCAGTTCTAGTCCAGTCATGAGTGTGAATTGATTTGATGACGGTTTGGGTTTGGAGTACCGGAGCTTAGTTTAGCATTGTGGAGAGAGGAGAGTAAATGTAGTGGTAGTTCTGTAGTTTATTTCCAGACTGGCTGATGAAAACTAAAGCAAGTGGCTAAAAAATGAATTGGATTTTTTCATATCATTTCATGATTTTTAATAAAATGTATGAAGGGGCTTTCAAAAGTTCGTGGCAGAATGGAATGAAACGATCAAGGGATTTTCCCGTAAGCTCAGCCCGCTCCCCTGCCATTTGTTTGACTGTCCGTCTTAGTTGCTAGGAATATGTCCAAAGTCTGTGTGTTTTCCAGCCCGCCAGCCTTTACTGCTCCGTGTGCCGGGCAGAACCCGGCCTCTCACCCGCCTCCCGACGATGCCGAGCAGCAGGCCGCGCTCCTGCTGGCGTGCTCCGGGGACACACTGCCCGTGTCCTTGCCACCGGTGAACATGTATGACCTTTTTGAAGCTTTGCAGGTAACTCTGGGCTCCTTAAAGTTGGATACTCTTGAAGTCTGCAAAAAACGTTCACTCGCTTTTTCCCTACTTGTTGTTGTTCCAGTTGTTTTTAAGCTACTAATTTTTAACTAGCCATATCTTCATATTCTGGGCCCATGAGCCCTTCCTAATTTGCTCTCCCTCACTTGTCCACTCTCTCCACCCTTATGGAAGAAAGAAAGAACAAAAGTCCTCTCGATCCCGTCGCTCCTGTTTCAGGACCTGACCCTTTTTCTTAAACTGTGTGATGGAGTTTTAGGTTCTGACTTTAGTAAGCCAGACTGAAATGGTAAAAGGTTTAAGATGGCGGTGTTGCCTTGTATGGACTTTGCTGTATTTCGTAGGTTGAAAAGTAAGTGTACTAAAGTGTAACTGGAGCCGTGCTGATTTTTCAATCACAGGTACACAGAGAGGTGATCCCTACACATACAGTGTATGCTCTCAACATTGAAAGGATCATCATGAAACTCTGGCACCCAAATCACGAAGAGCTGCAGCAGGACCAAGTTCACCGCCAGCGCCTAGCATCCAAGGAGGGGCTTTCGCTCTGCTGAGTAAGGGTGTGAGGGTGTGGGGCCTTCAGCAAACGGATGACCGAGAATGGAATGTTTTTGGGGTCCACATTTCTAGGCTGAAGTGTATAGTGTATATATAACCTTTCCTATGGAAACGTGACAGTACATGTTGTGTTGCTACTGTGAAGCCATTAACAGACACCTGACTTTGGTAATGACTCGTGTGAGGGCGCACGTGTGAGAGAAGAGAGATCACCCCTGTTATGGGAACAAGAGCCACCGGATACGTTCTGGAGATGGTAGGCATCTGGGGTCTAGTATCCTATGGTCTGCGATGAGGTAGATGACATCCTAGGGGGGGACAAGCTGTTATGACTTAGTTCCCATGATCAGCCGAACCTCCACATCATATATTGTGTATCTGCCAAAATAAAATCCTCTGCCTTTCTGCTGAAGAACCGTGGCCTTGCATCTTGACTGAGATAACCTCCACAGTGTTAAACGTCTGTGCAGTGTAGTGAATCGCTTAATGCTGCCTTTCTAGCTGTAGTCTTTGTAACTCCCACCAAATGACTAGGGACTGTATAAATGAGGTGCTTCTGGCCCACCGAGGGGATTGGACAGCTTGCTAATAAAGTGAATACAGTGCATGGTACCTTTGGTTAAACCGTGTTAATGAGGTGCCGAGTCACCCGGAGGTGGACAGGGGAACCTCATAGCCACCCAAGAAAGAAGGGCCCGGAGTAGAGGGCATCTTTTGGATCTGGGACCCTTGTACTGAGAACCTCCTAGCCCAAGGAGACAGGGCTATCACCACAGATGGTAAGAGACAACCTAAAGCAGAGGCGGCAGAACCAGGAGGTTGGCAGGAGGCGGCATGGTAGGTTTCCTGGGCCATGGAGAGCGAAAACTGAGCACCTTTCGGCCGGAAGTTCACTGGGCAAGTGGTGTCTCCAGGCCCTTACTGGTGGAGCTAGAGTTCTGTATGGCTCGCTTAAGAAGAGCAGAGGGTAAAGGACCTCAGAGTTCACAGTCAGAGAGAGGCGTGCTTGTAGGCACGAGTGAGACTGAAGACTTGTATCCTGAATCATTGCTCAGCATGAAATGTAACCTATTAACTTCCCTAATAAATTCCATAATTGTGAATGTTGTCTGAGTTCTGTGTAGCCATTGCAGCACATTATCTAACCCAACAGCGTACTTTGAGAGGGATAGTTGGTGTCAAAAGTGGTGACAAGGCTGGAGGGTGGAGCTTGCCTGTCAGAGGAGTCACTTTGGGCTGACACCGATCTTCTCGACCCCTTGTGAAATTAGAGGTCAGGTGCCTCTGCCATTTCACATTGGTGACAGGATGGGGTTCTTTGGGGTGGCTCTGACTCATGAAAGCACGGAGCTTTGTATAAGAAAAGCAAACTTCATCTTTTGATGACGCCTCTGGTTGTTAACCACTGGCCAAAAGAGAAGTGAGGGCTGTTTTGCTGCGTCTGAAGGGAGAAAAGCTGCATCTCAAGTGGCGTGGGCAGTCAGGTGGGACACCCAAGATGACTGCTAGGGGCCAGGGTCTTGTGGTTCCACTCAGCCAGAGGCCCAAAGTCTTACAAACATGATCGTCAAGGTGTGAAGATTATTGTGTTTTAAAAGGTGGTGTGAGTGTACTGTGTATATTAAATGTTTCTCTGATGGAATTACTATTGGAGTATTATAGATTACAGGCATGTGTAACTCCACCTTCAGCTAATACTTGATTGCATATACTAAAAGGCAGCTAGGATTTGCTGGAAGACAGCACAGGCTGTTGGTTTGAATGTGGCCCTGTGTGGAGGTATTGCGGGCTTCAGTGAAAACTCCAGTCCTGTCCAGACTCCTTCCAGTCAGTAAAGCTGCACTGGAGAAGATAAGCAGACTCACTCAGAACTGCTGATGGAACAGAGTGCTGGAAGGAGGACCTGCAGAAAAATCACCTTTGCTCTTTGAGTTTTGAGAAAGCAGTTTGCTATTGGTGGTCACTGATGCATCGAGGCTGGAAAAGTCTGTGCCCACTAAAAGAAGCTCCTTCCAGAACTAGAAGTTAAGGGAACTGGTCAGGAGTCAGCCTGGCGTGCTCACTGTGGTATTTAGTCATCAACCTAGCCCACAGCAGCTAGGAATGAGAGAGGACGGGCTGGGCTCTAAACTGCAGGCAGTTTTGTGGACTTCTGAGCTCATAGGACCACGGGATGGACTTCATAGAAGCTGATTCAATGGAGAGATGGTTGATACTGTCAACGGTTGTTGACTGCTCTGGACTGGACTTTGCATGCAAATAAAGTTCCAAGCAGAACAAAACATTCTTCAAAGAACTCGCTTGTCTCCTCAAGAATACTGGTTTGATAGGGGCCGGCAATTTGAAAACCAGCTCCCCTGGGCGCAGGGGAGATGGAGGTGTGAAGTGACTGGCTTACGTAGCTCTATGGGTGTGCCTAGTCTGGAAACGGGGATCAAGGGCAGTCCATGGAACAGTATCCTGTTACTCTCCTGGGTCATGTTAAGAGGGGCCGGGAGATAATTATGATTCTCCTGTGAATACTGAGTTACTGGTGAATTTTGACTGTAAAACACTTGATAATAAAAGCAGTAACATAGTGGACTGAGGAGGAAACACTTCTGGAATGGAGTACAGTGCCAAACCTAAAGTTCCTTACAGGTTTTGCTAAGCTGATGCTTCATGAGGCTCAGGGGAATGGACGAATTTCTCAGTTAAATTTTATCAGAGGACAGGGGGAAGCCAAAATGACGTCTGGAGACCCTGGCCAGATGAGATGGTTACCAGCAAGCAACAGGCCAGAATGGCTGCTATCTGGGTGTCCTTATTCTGAGGACTGTCCTCCTGAAGGACGGATTGCTAATGGCCGCTTTGGATTGGTACAGCCATGGGGAGAAATAGCCAATAACTAGAAGAGCCAGGGGCTCCTCTGGTGCAGTGAATTACTTCACATGGCTCCTCCAGTTCTAGCTATAGTCTGCTATACCCTCCAATGATTGGGAGATACTTTGCAAATGAAGTGCTTGTAGCTCACTAAGGGATAGCTTACTAATGATGTAAACAAGGTACATGGGACCATACAATCAATGTGTGGAACCCTAAGGAGGGGATCGGTCAGTTTTGCCATCCTAGTGGGCTGAAAATGAGCCACTTCAAAGGGCAAAAGGAAAGCCCTTCCTTCAGTATGTCTTTTGGATCTGAGGTCCTTGTGCTGAGGAACTGCCAAGGTCCAGGAGACGGAGAACTGGTAACTCACCGGAGATGTTAGTCACAGGGAAAAGCTGTGGCAATGAATTATCAGTGGAGGCAGCAGAAGCAGATGGCACGCTGGCACAGAGTGAACCAGCTGAGCTTTGAGCAGAGGGAAGAGTCGGGGGCCTCCAGGTACTTGGAGCTAGGCTCACGGACCCACAGAGCAGAGAAAGGGAAGCACCTTAGGCAAGTAGTTTGTTGATGAAGTGGGAGAGGTTTCTAACACTGCCAACTGGAGCAGAGGCTAAGCTGGCCCAAGAGAGCTGGCAGGGTTGTGGGCAAAAAAGAAGCCTGCCTATGGGCAAGGCTGAGAAGAGGCTGGCCTGATAAAAGAATTGTATCCTGAGCCTTTTGTGATTCCGAATTGTAACCTGTTATTTCCATAATAAACCCAATAATTGTGCACACTGCCTCTGAATTCTGTGTGACCTCTGGAAAGAATTCGTGAAATCAGCCAAAAGGTAGAGCGCGGGTAGCAAGGACGGCTGGTATCCTAATTGGTAGAAAGGTTGGAGGGAGGAGGCATGTGCTGTAGATGCCGATTCTCCTTCAGGGTGGGTTAGACACTGCTGGCACACAAAGAACAGATAGAGGTAGCCCCCTGCCCCGTCCCAATTCATCATTACAATGCCACAGAAAATAGAACTTGGCCATGCTGTGTTAAAGGACAAAGTCCTTTTTCGTGTTAAAAAACAATCAAAAGGAAAAAAAAAAATCTTACACTGCAACTAACCTTATAAAATGCCCTCCCTTCGCTTGTTTATTCTGAAGTTTCACAGAGTTAGTAAGACGAGCATGTTCATTTATCAATCTTACCTCAGTTGTATCCAGGTAGTTCCGATTACAGTGGCCCTGCACCACCACTTTTGCTCAGCTGGATGGAGGAGCCTCTTGTTCCAGCCACCGGGTCAGTCCATCCTGAGGGTCTTCCTCTGTGGCTGATGCTGTACCGAGCATAACATTCTTCGCCAGGGACTGGTCCTTCCTGATAACATGTCCATGGTACGTAAGATAAGCTCTTGTTCTTCCGTTCTAAGGAGCAGCCTGGCTTCGGTGCTGATACTCTGAAGACAGATTTGCTGTATGTAGTCATTATTTTTTGCCAACTTTGTTGTTCAAATACATCCGTTTTTCTTCCGTCTTCTTTATTTCCCAGCTGTCATGCAGACGAGCTGATTGAAGACACCATGGCTTGGGGCAGGTGCACTCAAAGTGTCATCTTTGCCTTTCAACAACACAAACACTGTCGAACTGTCCAAGTAAAATGAAATCTTGGGCAACTTCACTGTTTCCGGGGCTTATGTTGTCGATGGGTCCCGCTGCACTTGGCAATGCTGTGTTAAAGGTCAGAGCCCTTTTTTGCATTAAAAAGATTTTTTTTTTCTTTACACTTAAGTGTAATCCTGTCATGTGTTTGAAGAAGTGTGAACAAATTGGTAATTCCCATCAGTTTCTACTATTTAAGGTCTAACGTGAAAGTAATTTACGTTTCTCAGTGTTACTAATACGTTTTTGTATTGAAAATAGTATTGATGGATCATTAGAATGTACAGGTGGATGTATAGAGTAGATATATAGATAATATGGTTAAATTAAAAGCTTGAAGGTAAACAAACGGCCATCTAGCTCAGAAGCAACAAAGCCCGCA